TTGGTAAAATTTGAATTTGTATAACCATAGATATATGAAGGTTTTAAGTTCATTATGGACTTGTAAAATACTATTGTTTGTTTCATTGATTTCATGATGAATTTGGTTAATTAGATTTGTGTGTAAGAAGTGAAAATGACTTACATTACCCTTATTGGTATGAGATGAGAAAGATAAAAGGAGGGGTAGTTTGGTCATAAATGATGGACTTTAAAGTCCATGATCAAGTCCCACCTCAAGAGGTGGAATTTTCAAGTCTATGGGACCCCACGGATTTGGACCCTTAAAGCCCATGGATCTCATAGATTTGTTGTCATCAAATACATAAAGCAAACAATAGATTTTGGACAAAATCCATGATAGATCCCAATCTATCATCAAATCCATCACTAAATCCATCAAGCAAACGACCTATGCTAAGTATGGTACACGCTACTTGGCATATTATTACTAATTACTTCATTGCCATTACTCGGTTAGGATTAGACTACTATATATACTGCCGTTATGTCATTATGTCGTATTATGCGAAGAATAAACCCTAAAGTAATTAGTTTTCTTTGTAGTTTATCCTACAAGTGGATTAGATATCTATCAATTGGTATCAGAGCGGTTGATCCCCAATTCGAGCACGATGGTTCTCGAGACAAGAAACGGTGAAGTGAAAGGTGATATCGACGATAGGTTCCAAGCTGTTGATAAAAGAATCAACGACATCAACGAGACAATGACGACAGGATTTCAAAAGGCGGAAGATGACCAGGCGGGGCTTCGCAAGGAGATGGCGTCCATGTACGTAGCCTTGCAACAGATCACAAATCAGCTTCAACAGCTGTCCGGGTCGTTCATGGGAAACACCCAAGGGATGCTCGGAGCTGTAGCGGTGGAGGCGTAAGAACATGCCACGGAGATGACACCCCTCCACCAGTGGACAAAGCGAAAAGAGCGGAGATCTCAGGGGTTATCAGAGGAAGAGATGTTCTTGGGTCTGAGAAGAGTCCCATGGCCATGGGATAGCGCGTTGCTGCGATGGTAACCGCCATAGGGCCGCAGTGTCCATGAAACCGTATCGTATCGGCGGTTCAACCACGAAATACCAGTATCGGAGGCTAAATCGATAGACGGTATTTACTGATATAACGATTGAAATACGGTTAAATCACGGTTTTACCATAAAATATCCTACCACTGACTTTCCCGATACGTTCTCCGGTACGGTTTCATGGACCAGGGCATACGGCATAGGGGTAGCGTGGGGTTCAATGGGGAGGAGGGAATTACGCATGGAAGAAAGCGGGCAGCCAATGTGGGGGGGGGGGGGGGGGGGGGGGGGGGGGGTGGGGGGGGGGATTATTTGGCCCAAGGGAATTATGATGGTGTTGGTTTGCCGTGGATCACTAGCCTAGTGGAGAGTGGGCCGAATCATGTTGGAGGAATAAAGGGTGCAGGAGATACGTTTGTGGCGTTTGTATTCTGACGCTTTCGTCGCTGTCCTCCTCGCCGCTGTGGTCTCCTCCTCTTCCAATCAACCGCTGTCGCCTCCAGAAGTGGCCGGTGAGTTTAATCCCATGACTACTTTCAGAATTCAAACAGCCAAATCATAAGGGAGGGATGATGCTGAGGACCATGGATTTGAGGTCGTTGGGAGTCATGGTCTGGCGGTGGGAAACGAAACGACGGTTGAAGGAGTGGTTGTCGGAGATGATGACGGAGTTCCACAGCCGGCAGACGAGTTTGCAGCGGCAGGCGATCCTGTGATTGGAGAGGCGAATCAGAATCTCTTCGACAAGATCGTCGCCGAGCTTGTTGTTGATCGTATGATCCGCCATGGCGCGTGTAGAGGCGGATTTGCAACCAGATCATCACCTCCCTGTACCAGCGGTCCGGCTGTGCCCCTGGCGGCGGTGCTGGCGGAGATGAAGAGGAGGAGTCGCACGATGAGTTTCGCCGGGGTCTAAGGTTACATCGGCGCATGGAAGAGAAGACAGATGGCGGTTACTTGGGGTAACTGAACGGTCGGGTCTTGTGGGATGCTGCAAGTAATTGGTAACTATGTTTTTTAATTAATTACAATTTCACACATTTTTGAATGGCGTAACTGCTCCAGGTAAGTAACTCAAACAGACTCCTCAGTTTCCATTTTTTTACGTTACTGCAATTTAGTCATTTTTTATTTCCTTTATTTTTTAATTAACCGCTATACATTTCCTTGATTATTTATTAGTAATTTTTATTTGTTTTCTTTTGATACTTACCCTCCATTTTTTTCATTTTATTTGTCAATTTCGTCCGTTTTATTTTATTGCTTTTCTTTAACTATCCCTATATAAAAAAAATTATATTAGCTTGACATAGTTTTGGATTCGGTGTATCCAACTAAGCCTTAATGGCTTGTTTAAGTCCACGTGGTGGAGCTTAGATGTCCTATAGTGGGGACGCTTGTGTGTTTTGTTTGTTTTTTTTGTAGGGGCACGCAGAAGAGCTCCCGATATCGGAGAGACTTCCTCAGACAGGTGACTTGGCTCATGATCAGGATGGAACTATCTTGCAGGATGCTTAGAGCTTGACTTTTCTCTTTAGTTGGGTTTCTTACTGTTTTGTTCTTCGCTGTCTCAATAGGGCTGTCCATAATGGTGCATAAAAGGCCCTCTCATCGGGAGTTCGACTATTGGTCGACTCCCGCGCTCTTTTTATTTTCTCTGTATGACTGATTTTATAACAACTGACTTTGCAAAAAAAAAAAAAATAAATAAAGGGTGCAGGAGAATATTATTTATCGTGGGTTAATAGCTTAAGGGATGGTGAGCTAGGTTGGACCGATTTAGGGGTGTTGGGCAGAACGGGTCAGCAAATTGATTGAATCAAATTCACACCGAACCAATTCAGTTTGGGCTACATGTTACACCAGGTGGGGGAAGATCTTTGATCGGGTTTAAGGAAGTTCTTAAAGTCAAACTGTCATAGTTGGAATTTCCAAAATTCTAACAGTCATGACTCAGGAGAATGCAATAGTTTGGATTTCTCGAGCTGAAAAGATTTTTCAAGTATCAAGGGATACCGGAAGATAAGAAAGTGTCATGGGCTGCATTCTACCTAGAAGGCGATGCTGGACAGTGGTGACAGTGGTTGGAGTATACAATGGAGTCGAACAAGGAATTAGTGACGTGGGAGCATTTCAAGGAAGAGTTGTGGTCTCGGTTCGAACTAGTGGGTAGAGGCGCAAGTGAAGAGAGCCTTATGTGGGTTCAATTGACGAACACAGGCTCGAGTTCGAGAAGTTGGCGTATCGTTGCAGAGGCTGGCCTGTTAGTACTCTAATCAATGCTTACTTGGCGCGTTTAAAGCCTGCAATCGCTAATGGAGTATGCCAATTCCAACCTCAATCATTGCGCAAAGCATTTCGATTGGCGAAGGGCAGAGAGGAGGAGTTGGAGGATATGTGTCTTGGGTTAGAGGCACCAACGCCGAGAAATGTGGCTGCACCAGCGCAGGCACCGCCCCATGTTCCGTTCAGAACCTTAAATCGTACTCCAGCAGAGATCGTGCAGAGTCGGAGTGATGGACTGTGTTTTCACTATGACGAGCGCTTCACGGTTGGTCACCATTGTGCAGGCCAGGGGTAGAGATGGCAACAAAACCTGAACCCATAAATACCCTACCCGACCCAACCAGGTCAACTTGGGTAAACCCATGTTGACGGGTTTTGGGTCGGCCCCGTTCATTATTCACCGGCTTGGGTTTTGGTTTAGGTATACCCGCCCCATGGATACCCGCCCACACCCATATAATTAGTTTTTCCTATATATTTAATATTCTAAGGAATTAATCTTCTTTATGTGGTGTGGAGACATGTCTAATTTTTTCTTTCTAATTGTGTAGAATGAAGTTGATATTAACAACTGGAGAGTGAAGAAACTTAATTGACAAGGAGAAAGAAGCTTTCAATTAATCATGTTGTTTATGGATAATTTGTTATTTGCTTCAATTTTTTTTAGTTTTCTACATTGGTGTTGAACAGTTTGTATGGTTAATTTGTGATTTGCTTGAATTTTCTAGAATGGTGTTTTATATATGGATAATTTGTACTGGGTGATTGATATTTGACTTTTATTTTGATAGGAACTTGTTATTGTAAATTTTTTACGACAAAAACCCATGGGTACCCATAGATACCTAGTTGGTTGGGTTGGGTTGGGTTTGAGTTTTCCAAACCCAGTTTGTTTTACCCTAGGGTCTTTCATGGATAAACTCATAAACCCATAAATTTGAGTTTGGCAAAACCCGATCCAACCCGACCTATTGCCATCCTTAGCCGGGAGTTGTTCTTAATGGTTGGTAATTTTCTTGATGACATCTGAAAATAACCTTAGGGACAAGGTTATGCTTGAAGGGGAGGGGATTGATGTGTGTATGTTACATGCTACTAAGCATATTATTACTATTTACTTAATTGCCATTAGTCAGTTAGGGTTAGACTACTATACATACTGTCGTTATGTCATTATGCATATTATGCAAAGAATAAACCCTAAAGATATTAGTTTTCTCTGTAGTTTATCCTGGAAGTAGATTAGATATCTATTAGTTTCCTATAGTCTATTGCATGGAATTTATAGTGTCTTCAATTATACATTAGTCATATTGTATGAAGAAATTCCAGTTGATCTCACTAAAGACTAAAGTAGGACCAGTTGAAAATAGGCATGTAATTCTAGTTGAAATTGCATGTAATTTTCATTACACTCATCCATATTGATCATATGTCACTAAATGTAGTGATCATGGTTATTAGTGATCATGGTGATTGGTGATTTAATCATTATGATGACACGACTTTTGAAAAAAACAATGCAATTTGCTCAAATGAAAAGAGAGCCTGGGTAACCATTATTAATTACTATAGGCAAACTTGGTAACTTAGTGATGGCCGACTATTTTAAATTCGAAGTTCGTCATCACAGTCACAAACTGCCTAGTATCAAAGGGTTTGGATCAAAGAGTCATCCTGGTAAGAAACCCACGTTAGAGTTAGACATACCTTCCTATAAGGGAACAACAAGCAACATATCACTGGCGCCGCATATCACTAGACTGGAAGAACTGGAAATGGAGGAAAATAAAGTAAACAAGACACCGACCGCCACATTTCTGTATTAAAACTCACTTAGACCTCATTCCGGTCTCACACTCACCCTGACACAACAGAGGGTCTCTGAGTTATATTCAGCAAACTCACCATATTTCGGGTATAACTTTCGTCTGGTTACAAGAAACCAGGAGAAGATAGTGGAGCCATCACAAGAAAATAAAAGGACACAATGAATGCCCAATGTCGGGCTAACATCATGCTGTTTACAGGAAATTAGTTAACTCGCCGCAAATCTCATCATATCATATACTACCGTTTAAGAAGGCTGTACGAGGGTATTTCTTCTAGCCGTGTTATGTCTTCTGCCAAAAGTTCCCTTTCCAGTTGCCTTCGCGTAGATTTCATAACAGCCTGCAGAGATACAAGGCGGCAGACCACAAATTTGTCAGAGTCGATATTATCTCTAATATCAAATGTAACATGCCGTCTGTTATGAGTTTCAAAATGCACAAGCATCCAGTGCTTCAGTAGACAGAAGGGTCATGAAACAAATAACCAGCTTTTACTTCCATGAAGCAAAAGACCAAGCAAGGAGTTTCAAGTACAACTTACATTGAAGTCCATGTATGATGCACGCATGGTAAGCCATTGCTGATCCATTAGCTTGAATGTCATGCAGTAAAGGAGATCAAACGCTGACTCATTTTCTGCAGTAATCAAGAGTTTTATAGGACTGAGACATTACTTAGAAGGTGTTTGTAAAATATTAAATAAATTGAAGAAAACAACATTTACCAGTGAGGAACTTCAGGAATGTTGCTCCTACCAAACTCCGTGGTTTGACTGTGGAAGTGAAGTTCAATCTTAGATACGAACTCTATAAAATTAAGTTGTACAAAGAATGAGCCAAGGGAAACAATGCTGAGTGTATCCCATTTGAAAATTTTAGAAGAGAGTATCTGGGTAGACCTGCTTCCAGATCGAGCATCTGAATTAGCATGAATGTGATATTCACACCAGCTACAGCAAATGGGTATTCCCAAACTGAACGATCACCTTCCCGCTTTTGAAGAAGATCCTGGAATGATTGCTGCATTAGGATGTAAAGTGAACCAGAACATTAGAAAGAGGAAGTGGATTGCTGATATGTGCACTTATGCATTGAGGCTAAAACTGTTATCAGGCCATTGTCAAAGCAAAATCACCCACATCAAGGGCCACAATCCATGGCATAAGCAAAACAATAAAAGGCTAAATTTGAACTCCAATGGAATGAATAAAGGAAGTCCTGACATTAAGGTAATAACACACAGAAAAAGTCCAACATACCGGGAAATTCCGAGCAAAGTATACCAAGTTCTCCAATGATATGAAACCACCACCCCTGAAGAATTAATTAACAACATTGCACAATACTGAGAAGACATACTTGAAAATGAATATAAGTTATTAAGGCATTGACACATAACCACTTCACCAACCTAAAATCTGTGGACGGATCCTTCCCTTGCCAACCCATCTCCTTCCATTGCTCAGATATCAAACCACATAGCTCATCTTCAGGGAAAGCAGCATTCCATAATGCCCTCAGAGCTTCCTACAAGAAAACAGCAATTTGAATCAGTACCAAACACAAACAGCCCCCCGGCATATTGAAATTTGACGGGTAGGCCGTGTGACATTTTAAACAAACAAGCATGTTCTCATAACCTTGCAAGAGAACAACACAAGAACTCATAAGAAATTTTAGCAGAAGCTGCACCTGATGCTCAGGGACTGAACTATCATATGGAACATCTATACGACTCTGTAATTGCTGCAAGCAATCTTCCTGTTAAAACCACAGCGCAGAGATAAATGTTCGTTCAATAACCGGATTGGAAGAAAAAGATGGAACAAAGAAGAAAAAAAATGATAAACCAACTCAGTAAAATGACATTCATGAATGTGAAGTTCTTTCACAATAGTGATCCTTTCCCCAGTTTACAGTAGTAAGAGATACAAATAGAGAAAACCAAAGAATTCATGATTTACAAACATCTGAGAGGATAAACACTAGGACCGAGAACAATATCAGCAATGCTGAAGATACAAGGAATTAGAGATGATATGTAATCCTGAAATTCAGCTGCGCCCTAATTGCAGTAAATGCATGTATAACCAGCAAATTGGAGTTGCCTAAGTACAGGTATGAAGGAAAGAAAAAAAATCCACCAGTGGAAATGGGAGATAATTCATCAAATCATAATACCTGGGCAGGGGTTAAATCAAATGAGGGACGGGAATCACTCTCTCTTCTTTGAGCACAAACGCAAGAAAGGCCACGACCAAGCCATGCAGCAGACCCTGCTACAACCTCGGCTGTAATAAAATAAACATTTTCAAATCAATAAAATCACATTTCTAATCAGATTCAGAAGCTCACAGGTCAAGCATATTTAGACTTCGAAGCTGAAAGCTAACAAGCATTATGCATCTCAAGCAAAAATCAATCTCACATGAGCTCGCTTGCATTGAAGAGCATAGGCACATTTGTCTCATTGAGTCATAAATGGTATCAATCTCTTGTCTACTCAAGAAATAAGAAACAACATACTACAGGGGGGAAATACACCGACTTCCTTTCTCCAAGAGCTAAGAATTTGACAACCTAGGCCATTGGAAGAATATGGAGACCAGTGGTTCGTTAACAATACACAATATTGAGCATATTTCATTTTCTAAGATGTACAAGAATCATTGCTTGAAAAGAGAAGGAGTGGGGCGTTGAAGTCGGCCAGAAAACAAGCATCCCCCAGAGTCGATTTCTCATCAATTTCTTCACTAATTGAAAGCTGGACTTCAAGGACAATTTGGCTTGAAGATTCAGAGCTTTACTTACTACTCGACTAATATGATTCGCAACACCAGCATCACCAATCAAGCAAAACGAAAGATCAAGAACGGATGGGAGTCCAGGGACCTAGCCTCCCCAGGAAACCTTCCTACTCGGTGATTGAAAACCGAAAATGACCTATAAAATGAAAAAGGCACCAGAGCGGAAGAAGAAAGAGAGAGAGAGGGAGGATGAACAGTAGCACATCTGCAACGGCAGCAAAGCTAACGTACCAAAGCAATTTTGCATATCAGCAAGCATGAAGCTAGCAAAGAATTTTTCGTTATCTCAAACCTAATTCACACGCAGCTGCATCTCCACCAAAAAAACGCGAGAGAGAACTGATTGCAGTGAGAAGGCGGGAGCGAAGAAAAATAGTCAAAGTAAAGCTTCTAGAAAGAGAGGCGAATTTAAATGTTAAAAGCGAGCTTGAGGAAATCGTACCAGAACTTGAATGGCAGTCGCTGTTGCCTCGGTCCAGACCTTGAGATATCCTTCTGACAGCGACAAAGGACCCTCCTCTATCCTCCATTCTCCAGCTCCGAGCTCTGATCCTATCTCTCTCCCTTTCCAGCACCGCGGCACCAGCTCAAATCGACGGAACAGCCAAACACGCCTCCGCTATCGGCCAACGAGTGAGCCAACTACTACTGCACAGAGTGAGGAATCAAGCAGGATCAGAATCTGTGATGGCAGAAATCAACTCAGGCATTGAATCGCACGGGAAGAACAAGCACCAGCTCACCGCGCCGACGAAATCACCGCGATTACGAACTCTCTTTGATTCTCCAGCAGCAATCGAGCAGGAGAACTGGACAAAAGATCAGAGCGGAAACAAGGATTACGATGTCGACCAGGAAAAGGGAGAAATGACGGCGAGGGGAGAGCTGCTGCTCTGCTCGTGAACTCAAACCTTGGAAAAGACGGTTGGATAATTAAGGCGGACAATGGGAGCGAAAAGTAAGAGGATTTTCGGAGTTAGCAGAGCTGCGCTCGCTAGGGGAAAAAAAAAGGAAGCGAATCTATAGAGGAGAAAGATTGTGGAAAGAACGGAGATCCAAAACAAGGAAGGAAAGGCGGAATTAGTGGAGAGAAGTAGTGCCGCTCTCGTCGTGCTATGGAATTTCGGGAGCCATTTCTGGCTGCCTGCCTGCTTCGGCACGGAGCGACGCCTGCTGTTTGTGTCTGTTTGGGGCTTTGGGCGTGTCCGAATGAGCCAGCGAATCCGAAAATTTGAATCCACGTTTATTAGGATGCCGAGACAGAGGTCACAGAAATCGTTAATTTCGAAACTAAATCGCGTATCACTAGCTTGTATATATTTTATGGGAAGGGGTAGGCTTGAAAATGAAAACTCTTATCTATAAAATCTCATCATTCCATCCTTCATTTCTTCTTCATCTAATGATAGCATGATACATAATAATTATTAAAAAAAATGGAGCACCTGTGGTAATTGGCATATCCAGAAGACCAGAATAAGTCAATAAGGCAAAGCTTGAGTGACTTTTGAAAATATATCGAGAGGATTGGATCGTAACCCGACGAGCACTCAAGCGAATATCTAAACTTAAAAATTTACAAGTGTTAAACTAGCTCTGGATACAAAAAAGGCTGGGTCGTGGCCCAGGGGCGGCCCCTCTTGAATCCTCACTGAGCCTGACACAAATCCAGAGAAGAGAATGTACTTTCTCTAATCTACTATTTTTCTTAATCGGATCCTACATAATTCGTTTTAACTCGAAATTTAATTTTTTTTGGCATAGATAGAATGCATTAGTTATGATCTACACTTTGATATCTATTTTGCTATATTTTGAGCAAAAGAAAAAATGAACTCTTCAAAACTTTTCTCGATTGTAGTATTATCACTGTCATATCAATTATATCATCGTGATATGATATGATGACTCGCCTTTTTCATTTCAACTCAAAATTTAAAATTTTTCCTAATCACTATTCTAGGTAGGCTAGATAACGAAACCGAACCCGAAGTAAGGTACACCTAGGAGAACCATGGTTCGACATTTTTATTGCTTGTTTATCCTGTACTACACCCGATCATCGGTTATAATTGTTTGTCGATTGGCTAGACTTCTAGGCAATTCGATCTAGTACTCAGATCTGGTTTCTAAACTGCGATGGAAATGGCATTCGGTGGGATCCTTTGAAATCATGGACCTCAACAACGACAATTCCCTTGCCACTTTTTGTGATGACCAAGACTATCTAAGGGAGCTGACGGGAAGACCATGGGTCATTCTTGACCATAATCTCATTGTTCATCAATGGTTGCCCTCATTCCGCACCTCCGACAAACCTCACATATTAGTGGTAGCTTGGGTTCAATTCCTTGAGCTACCAGTCCACTTCTACCATAGAAAGATTCTTTTCCCTCTTGCAAACCTTATTTCTTAGGCGAATCAAATTGGATTACAACACAGAACCATAGAGCAAGGTAAGTTAGATCAAAGCGTTGTCGAGCTTGACATGGCCAAGTCACTCCCTTCACGCGATAAACTATGAGCCTCCCAACTATCTGTTATGAATGTGGCTGAATTGGGCATTCGGAGGAAATCTGTTCGCGAAAGTGTCAACCTTCACAAGCCACCCTAGCCTTTTCAAGTTCTGAGCAAATTGCCTCATCGCTGGTGGCCTTGCAGGAGCCCCCAGCCGATTTTTCCCATGGATGCAAGTCACCTGGAAAGCTCGCAAACCTACAAGGAAAGTGGCGGATATGCCCAACCAATATCGTGGGCATTTGAATGGATTTCGCCCATAATCAGAGAAATTACCTACTGCCTGAAAAGGCAAGTGGGAGGAGGTAACGGGAAGAGGATACAGAGACAACAAAGGAAAGGCATATCAGATTGTAGGAACCAAGAAAGGAAACCCACCAAACCCAAAAAGCAAGAAATTAGGCAAAAGATGAGGGATTGCCCAACGGTAAGAAAAGCTCCCAACTAATCCATGCTTGGCGAGCTATTGGTGTAAAAGAAAATGTGGAAAACCATCCCAAACAACAATCCGAGCCCAGCCCAACAACAACAACAACCACTGACCTATCGTCTTTGGGTACAAAAGTTGAACTAGTTTCTCAAAGACATCAGGGCCCAAATAACACCAATTTATGAATCCTATCGGTCCATAATCTGATTCTGGCAAACAAAGAAAACCAGGACCCCAACTAAGTTTCGTCATCGGTTCGCCAACATTACCCAAAAAAGAATCAAGAGAAGAACAAAGGAATCAAACTCAATTCCAACAAAAAAAAAACCGCTCCAATTGCAAAGATCCGAACAATGCGATAACTCACAAAGACTAAACACTCGCCTCTTCCGGTGACTATGGAAGCTATTGTGGATTTCTTCTTCCAACCTCAACACAAATTAGGAGAAACTCATAAGTTAGCTAAGAAGACCGTTGAAGACTTGACAATTACAGAAACCCCTCCGGCTAATTCCTTGGAGAAAGTTGAATCGATGACAGAGTAGGAGCTCGATTTCATCTCGTCCTCGTGATTCTCTCTACTCTTCTTTTCTTTGATTTTCCCCTTGTTTTTGGTTTCACCTCTTTTATCCCTTTCTTTATTTATGTCTACCCCTACAAATTTAAAAATCTTGTCTTGGAATCTCGGTGACGTAGGTAATAGAAAGTTCGCCAAAGCCATCATACTCCTCAACACTATTCACAAGCTCGATTGCCTGGTCATTTTGGAGCCGTATTTTAACGTCGATCAAGATAAAAGTCTGCTATCGGTTAGGTTTTGATGAAATCCAAAGAGTAGATGTTGTTGGCAGATTCATGGGCATTTGGATTGTGTGGAATAACTCCAGTTTTAAGGATGATCTGATTGATGTGAGTAAAAAACATATTTCTATCAAGATTACTGGGGAGGGAAATCGTCAATGGATCCTCAAAGCAGTCTATGGAGCCCTCTGAAACCATTTGATCAAATTTAGTCTATTCTGTTCTCTTCCCTGGCTCCTTGTAGGTGACTTCAATGCGTACTGTGGTCCGAAAGAAAAACTTGAAGCTATCTCATCTGCTACGCGACAAAGATGTCAGTGCTTTAATAATTGGATCAATGAAGCTAAATTGATTGATCTTGGCTACACTAGCCCTCGCCATACTTGGTCTAGTGGAGACACGCTATTGACCATGAAATCTAGCCATATTAACTAAGCTTTGTGCAACGACTCATGGAATATGGCTTTCGCGAATTCCTTAGTGCAACATCTGACCTAAATTTCAGTCTGACCATCTGCCTATCCTCATCACTACTCAAATCCAGCCTACTATCAATAACCATGGGACAACCAATTCAGGTTCGAAGCGGCCTGCCTCAAGCATAAAAATGTGTCTGAATTTCTCTCTAGCAACTGGAACAAGGACATGTCTATGCAACAAGCTATCAATGACATCACCCCAAAACTACAACAATGGAGCATAGATATCTTTGGTTGTATTATCAAAAGAAAGAAGAAATTATTATCAAGGTTCCAAGGCATAACTATCCGCCTTGCTAATACATTCAGCGTAGGCCTACTAAAACTCCAAATCAAGCTAAAAAAGAAGCTGGATAATGTCTTTGCCGAAGAAGAACTCATCTGATTCCAACGAGCCAAGGAGCATTGGGTGACTTTAGGAGAACAACACACTTTCTTCCTTCAGACCCCATTCTTACCACTAGAGGAGTGCGACAGGGAGACTCTCTTTCCCACTTTCTTTTCATCCTCCGTGTGGAACGTTTAGCTCGCATATTTAAAAAAGTAGTGACATATAAGCTTTGGAAGCCGTTGGCTCTTTCGGCAAATGGCTCAAAGCATTCCCACCTCTTTTTCGCTGACAACTTAATTTTATTTGCAGAGGCAGAAGGGAGACAGATTAATACCATTAAGAAATGCCTAGAGAAATTCTGCTCCAGTTCAGGGCAACGTGCCAACTTCAACAAATCATATATTTTCATTTCTCCAAACATCAAATGAGACAATGCTTTTCAACTCAGCAATCAAGCTGGGATAAACATGACAACGGATCTTGGGAGAAATATGGGATTGAATGCAATTAATGGACGAGTTAAAAAAAACCATATATAAAGAGCTTATGCCTAAAATTCAAAATAAACTTGCCTCCTAGAAGACGAGACATCTTTCTATGGCTGCTCATAACACTCTGGTTAAGGTTATTACTTCCAACATTGCGATTTACCAAATGTTTTCTAAACTTATTGCTAGTGGTGTTTGCAATGCTATTAACAGGTGCAAAGCAATAGACATTTCATCTGGGGGAAGGAAGAAGGGAAATCAAAGATGCACTTTATAGCCTGGAACCATTTCACTTTACCTCTCAACCAGGGAGGTCTGACATTCGCCCTACCAAGTTGGCAAATCAAGCGATGCAAGCTAAGGGAGTCTGGAAACTTGTGATGGAAGATCAAGCGTTGTGGGCTATAGTCCTAAGAAGCAAGTACGGTCGAGACAGAAAGAGCCTCAGAGTGTTGAGTAATATAAAGGGAATTTCACACGCTTTGCACAACTTTTCCCAAAATACAAACCTTGTGTACAGAGGAACTGCCTATAATGTAAAAACTGGGAAGAATACTAATTTCTTGATGGACCCTTGGATTTTGCAGGAACCTTTGATCGAGAAGGCAACAACTACCTTCACTCCAGGCATGATGCAAAAGAAGATAGCTGACTATTGGGGCTTCACCAGTGGCTAGAAAATGGAGGAGCTTGACAACCTTCTCCCTTCGGAGATCCTAAATAGGACTCGTGTTGTCATCTTGGACTCCATTTCAACCATGGAAGATCATATTTTCTGGAAGCCTACTGCAAATGGCAACTTCAGCAACGCTTCGGCTACAAGTTGGCAGCCCAACAACCTAACCACCATGACCAAAAGTTGTGGCACAAAGTCTGGCAGCTGTAAAGTGCTAAGAGAATTTGAATTCTCATTTGGATAGCTATGAAGGGAAGATTGATGACCAAAAACTTGCGGAAAGATCGACACCTTACCTCAGATAACAATTGCTCGCTCTGCCAAAGCTCTCATGATACCAACGCTCATTGTTTAAGGGATTATCAAACTATAAAAAGGTTATGGGAAAAGGTAGTCCCTTCCCATTTTCAACATCAATTTTTTACAACACATCAAGAGCAAGGCGCTAGGTGAGGTCCCAACGCCCGCCTTACGTCTAACGCCTTCTTGAACCCTGGAGAAGAGAATAGAGTCGTGGACTGGCTTTCGAAGCATAGTCTCATTTATCCTTCAAT